ATACTTTCAGTGCCCTTACAAACTTAGATGCGTCTCACCACAGGCTGGCTGGTTGCCCTTCAGCCAGGCTCTCCCCTTTGATCAGTGCTTCAGTCACTTGGTGGTGGTGTCTGTAGATGGAGGTGGAAGAGAGCAAGCATGGCAAACATCTCTCCCTTTTATCATGTCCTTTCTTCCCTCTTCTTGGTTTTGCACCCCTCCTTCAGAGTCAGGTGAGCATTACCTCATCGTAGACCCAAACTGACTAAGGGAAGGGGGGTGACTCACTGTCCAACAGATCCTTTGTTGCTGCCTATGTCAGTGTCCTTTGTTCCTGTGAGGCTGGGCTGGGTTTGTCCCATACATGCCCTGATGAGGTGTGAACTGCCCCTCTGCTCTTAGAGAGTTTTGCCTGGGCCTCTGCTCCTGGAGAGTTTTTGCCTGGCCTTGTTTTAAGCCATGAGGACACATTTTCAGCCTCATAACTATATATATATATATATGAAATTACAACCTATAACAACAATGCTCAGTGCATCATGAGCCTTCCGAAGACACTCAACATGACAAACTTTGCATTGGATACCACACAATCATATTATAAGGATGAACATGGGGGTGCAGGGTTTTCCAGGAGGCATGATAATCTGTATGTTATTCCCTGATAACCAGAAACTTCTATGCTTAAATTCTGTACCGTTCACTTTTATTTTTTTTTAAACATCATCTTAATAAAATTTTTAAACCTGTTCTTATCAAAACTTCCTAACTGTATGGGTAGTTAAGCACTAGAACAAATTACCTTGGGAGGTTGAGGAATCTCTGTCATTGAAGGTTTTTAAGAAGGTTTTTCAGACAAAGACCTGTCAGGGATGATCTAGCTAATACTTAGTCTTGCCTCAGTGCAGGGGATTGAACTAGATGACCTACTGAGGTCTCTTCCAATCCTATATTTCTATGATTGAATGAAAAAACTACAAGATCAATTTCAATAACTTATAAAATTCCACTAACTTTAGGCTTTGGTGGCCAAAGCAGTACCAAGTATTGGAGATAGTACTGTACATAAAATTTGGATTTTAGGAGTCATTGGTACCTATGTTGAAAAGTAAACCTGGAGTCAGCACCTCCCATAGCTCCTTCCACTTTACTTGAAGAAAATAAAAACAAAGATTTTTATTGGATTTTTTTCTCTGAAATGAGAAGAGGAAAGTAATAAGGTGCAGTGATAAAACAGTAGCCAAGGTGAGAGCTGCAACAACATAAAAAAGCCCTGGAGACAAACATCAAATGCAATAAAGAAAATACAGGCCAGAATGTAAGCTTTCAGTTGTGCTCAGTCAGACAGCCTTTTAGTATTTGTTTGACTAAATGTGAAAGCAGCACTGTGAAAAATAATAGAGTACTTAATGGACAATATCATAATACGGTATTTCTAAAGATGAAGGAAATACCTTAATAGTATGGGCTGTTTTATCACTCGAGAAAACAAACTGTTTTCACTGCTCAGCTCTATTGTCTCTCTCTCTCTCTTTCAGTAACAGATTTCAATTAGCTTTTATCTTTGTCTACCCTCTTTAAATTCAAGGTGTTTATGTTTAATTTTTTCATGTTAATAGATTATTTTCTATGGCAACTCAAACTGTCCAGCATAAAAATTCCAAAAGATGAAACTAAGGTGACATATTAGCAGTAAAAAATAAAAAAAAATAAAAAAAACCCCACTTCATCCAGAATGTAGCTGATGGAAAAGAGGAACTTTTTAAAGTTAATTTTGGCCTGTAAAACAAACAAGATAACTGTACAAATTCACTGGGGATTCTTGAACAGTTCCTGAATCCTTCTGCATTGTCTGACAAATTCTGGAATTATTCCAGGAGCTGCACAGTGATAGAGAATGGACTGAAGACAAAATTCACCACTCCACTCTGTACAGAAGAATAGACTCCATTATTCTGCTCCCATTAAATATGCAGATTTCTCACTGGAAGCATGAAAGGAGAGCAGAATATCAGAGTTGAGGTCTGCTGCATGACTCAGAAGCATTTTGCCCATAAAATTCAGTTCTGATCTTAGATACAATCACCAGCCAAATTCACCACTAGTGTAAATATGTTCATCTTCAATCAGGTACTACATCTTCTGATTTTTCAAGGCACATACGCTATCATGTGTCTGAGATCACAGCTGAGATTGAAGAGGAGAGTGAAGGGAAACAGAAAGAAAACATATTCCAGAAAATATTGTTTCATGCTTTCTTAAATTTATTATCTGAATATATATATAGAAAAATTAGTCATGTTACCAGAAAACATATGAAGTTGGATTTATCACTGAGCACCTTTGTAGTGCTGTGACAGTTCTCAGGGTACCCAGGACTCAGAGTGTTGTGTGTGTCTATTCATAGATAGAGCAAACCCGTATCTTGTTGTAATGTTCCTTTTTCATCTCCAAGTGGTTTAGATTGTTTGCAGTTCTCTCTGATGGTTTTCCATTAATTGCTTTAGGATGAACAACTGAACCTTGCAGTACATCACCACCTAACCAGATAGGGGTGACAACTGCCTCCTGCTTGAATGGGTCATTGAGACATCATATCCCCTGGAACTAACTTTTACTCCAGGAACGTAAAGCATACTTTTAACATAATTATATTATTCTTTAAATATCCATACATATAGCCACAATGATTATGAGTCTTGATAAATTGCAAACTTTCTGTAGATACCTTACATCAGGGGCTGGCAACGTTCAGCACGCAGCCCAGCAGAATAATCTGCTGGCAGGCCACGAGACATTTTGTTTACGTTGACCGTCCACAGGCACAGCCCCCATCTTAATTTTTAAAAATCTTTGCAATGTGAAAGACCTACACAAATAATAGGAGGAATTGACTAACTGATTTTAGAAGGAAAACTGTGAATCTGTCTATACACAAAGTAGTGTCCAACACAACAAATAACCAAACTGCAAAAAAGAGGCAAATATTTATTTTCTCCCATCTGTTACAGTATTAAAAGTTACTCTTCTCTGAAGTGAAGATGACAGGCTCTGGTAATCCATTCTTTTGTAACTTCCAGACCAGACCTCTGGACATGCTCAACATACTGACCAGAAGGGCTATACAAAAGCTGCAAATGGTCTGTGATGATGCAGTTCCCACCTACATTGGAGAGAGAAACTGGAGAGAGCACATCATCATAACAGTATGCCGCACTCTGCAATGGCTCTAATCCAATTGCAGATGATGTTTCTGATCTTCAGAGTCCCTAACTGTCTGGATCTCATTTATCTGTATCACTTGACTACAATAGCAATCATTGTGGGTTCTGCTGAGTAGCTGATGGTTCCCAGGATCAAATGTGCACTGGCAAAGTCTAGTTCTACCAAAAAGATCATCATCACACTCACCCCATTACTAAAATGACCTAAGAGCAACTTGTTTGCAGTGTTGTAGCTGTGTTGGTCCCAGGATATTAGAGAAAGGTGGGTGCAGTAATTCAGATTGTATAAATCTTTCACAGGATCAACCTCTCTTGGTGAAAGAGCAAACAGTACTATGCACTAACTAGCAGTCATTTCCCATTTCCTGCCTGCATTACAGTTGTCCCTGGCAGAGAGACATCCCCCACTGTTTTTGCTCTAGGAAGCAGGTGTCCTTAGCTTTCATTTATCTATTGGGAAAACATCACTTTCGCCTATTTGCCTAATATACAGACATTCAGTTCAGTTTTCCTAATTGCCAAATGGCTAATGTTCACAACTCCTCTGGCAAACAAGCAGGAATTCCTTAAATGTAATCTTCCATCCTAACCTTTCTTAATGAGAGTTATCTCCCAATATTAAATAGAAAACTCCTCTGTTTCAATGTGTCATTGCAAAAGGAGGCAAAGCTTACATAAGAACTTTGAATATAAAACATTTTTTTTTTGTAAACTTGGGTTAATTTTGTGCAATTGAAGGAATGTTGTACGGATCACAACCAAGCAAGTGGACAGGCAACACACAAACTTCTCTAAAACAGCTCTGCAAATGTACAGCACCCATGCTAATGCTACTATGCTAGGATTCTCTGGAACTGGAACTATCTGTGATGCTAAATTGGGCAAAATTGTCTAGTGTTTTTCTGATGTGGACAAAGGCTGACTAAGGGCTAAAATGAGACCACAGAACTCATGACACTTGTGTCCCAATCAGGATTTGAAACCAGGTTTTGTAAAGGCAAAAGGGTAGCTAGTACAATTAATGAGACCATTAAAACTAGAGGGTGAGGGGAAAACTCACCCCTTCCAAGCACAGAAAACATTAATGTGACATGTGGTAGGGCAGTTCCTCATCAGATAGCTGTGGTCTTGCTGAGCTCCTGAGAGCATGCGGTGTGTGCTCAGCCTTTGCTAGGGTTAAGATAGCATGTGACAAATGCTTGGTCCCTGCATGGATGTGAGTGAAAATTTGCATGGATGTCAGAGAAATTTTCAATTTTCCATCAGGAAAACTGAAATGATGGTCCCCAGGCCACCTGCCTGCAGCACTCTTATCAATTTGAAAACTTCCATTTCAGTTCTTCCCAAAGACATCTATTTGGAATGTCTCTCCAGCCAAACAATTTTGAGGTTTTTATTTTTTGTCCCGATTTGGGATGAAATTTTTTCTTAAGCTTTGAAACATTCCGCAGATCAAAAATTGTGTTTTCCTCCCAGCAGGGCTGGCGACAGTAGCGTGGACTCAGGCTGGCCTCTCTCCCTGGGGACCAGGCCGGGGATGGTGAGGGTGACGAGGGCCGGCCCCGCACTGGCCCGGGACTGGGCAGGGGCGGGTCGGGGTCCCAATCGGCTCTCGCGGGGGTGGGGATGACGCACGCCCGAATCTCATTGGCGGTCAGCGCTCGGCTCTAGGGCAGCAGCGCAGGCGCAGCGGCGAGCATGAGCCCATGCCTCGCCCCGCACGGGACCGCGTGCTGGTGCCGGTGATGAGGCGAACGGGTCACGCGCGCACTAACGGGCGTGGCTCGGCTTCGCAGTCTCGTTCCGGCTCTCAAAGGCACACGTCATGATCCACGCCCCTCGCTAGACGCTCCGCCCTCTGCCCCGCCTCCTGCCGTGCACATGCCTGTGGGTTTCCGGATCCGGGGCAGCCAACAACCACCGTTTAGTTCCGGGTGCGCAGGCGCTGTGGCCGTTGCCCGAGCCGCTCCGCTCTCGCTATGAAGATCACGCGGCAGAAACATGCCAAGAAATATATGAGCTTCTACAAGTACAACTTCGGCTTCCGGGAGCCCTTCCAGGTGCTGCTGGACGGGACTTTCTGCCAGGCCGCGCTGCGCAACAAGATCCAGATCCGCGACCAGCTGCCCGGCTACCTCGCCGGGGCCACGCAGCTCTGCACCACCCGGTCAGTGGCTGCGGGGGGGGCGGTGTAATGCTGTCCCGTGACCAGACGGACGTCTGTGCGCGCGCTTGGTGGATGCCGTTACCGCGTCCCTAGCGGGCGCGCGCCCAACATCTGCCTCATGTGCCCGTCCCGGAGGAGGCGCGAGGTGAACTGATATCCAGGCCCCGGGGAGGCTCTCCAGGGGATTCACCACCCCGTGACCCTGCCGGCGCGGGCGGGGCTGTGCACGGGAGCCCCGGCGGAGGCGGGAGCAGCTGCCTAGGGCCCAGGGAGACGGCGGCGGCTGAGAGCGGCCCGGAGAGTCTCCCTCTGTGTTTTTCTCTGCGCTCCCCAACCTGTGCGGGGTCCGCCCGCTGAGCGCTCCTTGGACGCCCCGCAAAGCCAGCGTATTCCTCCCCACTGAGGGCAGGGCGCAGGCAGCCTTGTGAGCCGGTGGGCCCCAGGCTGCGCACAGCCTCGCGACCCCGTCAGTGAGTCTGAGGCGCTGCGCCAGGCTGAGGTGTCCCCAGAGAAGGTTTTGGAACAAATTGATAAACCGTAATAAGTCCCCAGGGCCAGACGTGAGTCACCCAAGGGTTCTGAAGGACCCGAGCTTGCCTATCGTGTAACTTATCGCTTAAACCAGCCTCTGCACCAGCTGACTGAAGGGTTGCTAATGTAGCACCAATGTTTAAAATAGTCTTCAAAGGTGATCCTGGCAGTTGCAGGCCTCTTAATCGAACATCAGTATCCGGCAAATTGGCTGAAACTATAATGAAGATCAGAATTATCAAACACATAGATGGACATGATTTGTTGGGGAAGAGTCAACATGGCTTTTGTAACAGGAAATCATACCCCACCAATCTATTAATTCATTGGGTGGGGGGGGGTCAGCAAAAGTGGACAAGGTTTATCCATTTGCTATAGTGATTGTGGACTATCAGAAAGTCTTTGACAAGTACCCTCAGCAAAGGATCTTAAGCCAAGGTCATCTCATGGTTCAGTAACTGGTTAAAAGATTATTTAGATAATGACAGAGAGAGTACACTTATAAAGTTTACAGAGGATACCAAGCTGGGAGGGGTTGCAAGTGGTTTGGAGGATACGATTACAATTTTAAATGATCTGGACAAACTGAAGAAATGGGCTGAAGTAAATAGGATGGAATTCAATAAGGACAAATGCAAAGTACTCCAATTAGGAAGGAACAATCAGATGTACACATACAAAATGGGAAATGACTGCCTAGGAAGGAGTACTGCGGAAAGGGATCTGGGGGTCATAGTCGATCACAAGCTAAATGAGTCAGCAGTTGCAAAAAAAGCAAATATAATTCTGGGATGTATTAGCAAGAGTATTGTAAACAAGACACGAGAAGTAATTCTTCCGCTCTACTCTGCGCTGATTAGGCCTCAACTGAAGTATTGTGTCCAGTTCTGGGCACCACATTTCAGGAAAGATGTGGACAAATTGGGGAAAAAGTCCAGAGAAGAGCAACAAAAATGATTAAAGGTCTAGAAAACATGAGCTATGAGGGAAGATTGAAAAAAACTGGATTTGTTTAGTCTGCAAAAGAGAAGACTGAGGGGGGCCAGAACAGTTTTCAAGGACTTAAAAGGTTGTTACAAGGAGGAGGGAGAAAAATTGTTCTTAACCTCTGAGGATAGGACAAGAAGCAATGGGCTTAAATTGCAGCAAGGGCGGTTTAGGTTGGACATTAGGAAAAACTTCCTCTCAGAGTGGTTAAGCACAGGAATAAATTGTGCAGGGAAGTGGTGAAATCTCCATTATTGGGGTTTTTTAAGAGCAGGTTGGACAAACACCTGTCAGGGATGGTCTAGATAATACTTAGTCCTGCCTTGAGTGCAAGGGAGTGGACTAGATGACATCTCGAGGTTCCTTCCAGTTCTATGACTCTAAGATAGGAAACAAAGGGTAGGAGTAAATGATCAATTTTCACAGTGGAGAGAAATAAGTAGTGGTGTCCCTCAGGGATATGTACTAGAACCAGTGCCATTGAACATATTCATAAATTATCTTGAAAAGGGGGTTAACAGTGAGGTGGCAAAGTTTGTAGATAGTACAAAACTACTCAAGCTAGTTAAGTCCAAAGCAGATTGTGAAAGGTTACAAATGGATCTCATAAAACTGGGTGACTGGGCAAGAAACTGGCAGGTGAAATTCAATGTAGATAAATGCAAAGTAATTCACATTGACAAACAATCCTAATTATATATACAAAATGTTGGGGTCTAAATTAGCTGTTACCACTCAAGAAATAAAACTTGGGAGTCATTGTGGATAGTTCTCTGAAAACATCTGCTCGATGTGCAGCAGGAGTCAACAACTGACAGAGTTAGGAACCATTAAGAAAGGGATAGAAAATAAGACAGAAAATATCATGCCACTATATAAATCCATTTTATGCCCGCACCTAGAATATTACGTGCAGTTCTCATTGCCCCATCTCAAAAGAGAGAGATTAGAATTGGAAAAAGTACAGAGAAATGCAACAAAAATTATTCAGGGTATGGAACAGCTTCCATATGAGGAGAGATTAAAAAGACTGGGACTGTTCAAATTCGAAAAGAGACAAGTAAAGGGGAATAATATAGAGAGGTATAAAATCATGAATGGTGTGAAGAAATGGGAAGTGTTGTTTATCTAACACACAAACCAGGGGTCACCCAATTAAATTAATAGGCAGCAAATTTAAAACAAACATAGGGAAGTACTTCAGACAATGCCCAGTTAACACTGGAACCCATTGCCAGGGAATGTTATGAAGGCCAAAAATATAACTGGGTTCAAAAGAGAATTAGTAAATTCATGGATGGGTTTAGGGTTTTTGGAACCCAAAGCAGTGGTAATTTAATTAGTGGGTGGGTGTTTTTTTTTTTTTTTAAGGCAGTGGTAGGAATAAATTGTGAACATAGATTTATTTTAAAAAACAGAGAACCAAAAAAGAGCCACCATGGCTAAACAAGAAATTAAAGAAGCGGTGAGAGGAAAAAAGGTATCCTTTAAAAAGTGGAAGCTAAATCCTAGTGAGGAAAATAGAAAGGAGCATAAACTCTGGCAAATAAAGTGCAAAAATATAATTAGGAAGGCCAAAAAGGAATTTGAAGAACAGCTAGCCAAAGACTCAACAAAATTTTTGCTATTACTTTTTAAGTACATCAGAAGCAGGAAGACTGCTAAACAACCAGTGGGGCCACTGGACGATCAAGATGCTAAAGGAGCACTCAAGGACAATAAGGCCATTGCGGAGAAACTAAATTAATTCTTTGCATTGGTCTTCACGGTTGAGGATGTGAGGGAGATTCCCAAACCTGAGCCATTCTTTTCAGGTCACAAATCTGAGGAACTGTTCCAGATTGAGATGTCATTAGAGGAGGTTTTGGAACAAATTGATTAACTAAACAGTAATAAGTCACCAGGACCAGATGGTATTCACCCAAGAGTTCTGAAGGAACTCAAATGTGAAATTGAAGGAGTACTAATTGTCGTCTGTAGCCCATCATTTAAATCAGCTTTTGTACCAAATGACTGGAGGATAGCTAATGTGACACCAATTTTTAAAAAGGGCTCCAGAGGTGGCCCTGGCAATTACACGCCGGTAAGCCTGACTTCTGTACTGGCCAAACTGGTTGAAACTATAGTAAAGAACAAAATTGTCAGAAACATAGATAAACGTAATTTGTTGGTGAATAGTCAACATGGTTTTTGTAAAGGGAAGTCATGCCTCGTCAATCTACTAGAATTCCTTGAGGGGGTCACCAAGCATGTGGACAAGGGGGATCCAGTGGCTATAGTGTACTTCGATTTTCAGAAAGCCTTTGACAAGGTCCCTCACCAAAGGCTCTTAAGCAAAGTAAGCAGTCATGGGATAAGAGGGAAGGTTCGTTCATGGATCAATAAGTGATTAAAAGATAGGAAACAAAGGGTGGGAATAAATACACCTCTACCCAGATATAATAACACTGTCCTCGGGAGCCAAAAAATCTTACCGCATTATAGGTGAAACCACTTTATATTGAACTTGCTTTGATCTGCCGGAGTGCGCAGCTCCGCCCCCCCGGAGCACTGCTTTACCGCGTTGTATCCGAATTCGTGTTATATCGGGTCGTGTTATATCGGGTCATGTTATATCGTGGTAGAGGTCTAGTCAGTTTTCAGGATGGAGACAGGTAAATAGTAGTGTCCCCCAAGGACACTGGGGCCAGTCCTATTCAACATATTCATAAATGATCGGGGAAAAGGGGCAAATAGTGAGGTGGCAAAATTTGATGATACAAAACTACTCAAGATAGTTAAGTCCCAGACAGACTGTGCAGAGCTACAAAAGGATCTCTCAAAACTGGTGACTGTGAAACAAAATGGCAGGTGAAATTCAATGTTGATCAGTGCAAAGTAATGCACATTGGAAAACATAATCCCAACTATGCAGATAAAATGATGGGTCTAAATTAGGTGTTACCACTCAAGAAAGAGATCTTGGAGTCATTGTGCATAGTTCTCTGATAACATCCACTCAATGTGCAACGGCAGTCAAAAAAGCAAACAGAATGTTGGGAATCATTAAGAAAAGGATAGATAGTAAGACAGAAAATATCATATTGCCTCTATATGAATCCTTAATTACTGTGTGCAGATGTGGTCACCCCATCTCAAAAAAGATATATTGGACTTTTAAAAGGTTCAGAAAAGGGAAACAAAAATTATTAGGGGTATGGAACAGCTGCCGTAGGAGGAGAGATTAATAAGACTGGGACTTTTCAGTTTGGAAAAGAGATGACAAAGGGGGGATTATGATAGACGTCTATAAAATCATGACTGGTGTGGATAAAGTAAATAAGGAAGTGCTATTTACTCCTTCTTATAACACAAGAACTAGGGACCGCCAAATGAAATTAATAGGCAGCAGGTTTAAAACAAACAAAAGAAAGTATTTCTTCACACACAACGCAGAGTCAACTTGTGGAACTCCTTGCCAGAGGATGTTGTGAAGGCCAAGACTATAGCAGGGTTCAAAAAAGAACTAGATAAATTCATGGAGGATAGGTCCATCAATGGCTATTAGCCAGGATGGGCAGGGCTGGTGTTCCTAGCCTCTGTTTGCCAGAAGCTGGGAATGGGCAACACGGGATGGATCACTTGATGATTACCTGTTCTGTTCATTCCCTCTGGGGCACCTAACATTGGTCACTGTTGGAAGACAGGATACTGGGCTAGATGGACCTTTGGTCTGACCCAGTATTGCCGTTCTTATGTTTGATTGGCATAAATAAGAGTGCTTTTAACTAAAATTACTTTTGTATTAGGTTTTAAGTGAGCGCGTGCACACGCTGTAGCAGTAGGGTTAGAGCATTTAAACATTTATATTTAGTCAAAGTCTAAAATGGTTTCGAGGTATCAGCAACCACCCTTCTGGGGGCCATCCTTCTGTCCAGTTGCTGGGGAGTTTAAAGGTGCCAGATTTTTGCCCAAAGAAAAGCTTTCTTGGAGTGCTTTAAAGTTTTTGTTTGTTTGTTTTTGTTTTTATTGCCTAATTTTTTATAGCTAACTTAAAACACATGAATTATAGTGACTCCTGGTGGGTCATCATGGTAACCCCCTGGTGGGTTACCAATTTTTTTAGTTTTAGCAACATACTTATTTTTTATTATTAAAGCATTTTTAGTTATAATAACAATAAAACTTCTGTATCAGAGACACTTAACCAACGTCAGCTGTTCAAACATTCCTTCCATTCTTATGGTACATTAACTCTGTCCCATTCTGATTAGAAAAATTGCAAACATGCAGCTGTGTGTGGCCTTGCCTTTCAGGGCGTAAGATTATTCCTAATTCTATGGTATTTGGTTTTCAGCTAGCAGTGGCTGACTGAAGTACTGTCAAGTTCTGGGGTTACACACAGGAATGTCAAATTCTGGGAGTTCCAGGTTCATCAATGGCTATTAGCCAAAACGGTCAGGGATGCAACACCATGTTCTGGATCTCTGTAAACCTGTGACTGCTAGAAACTGGGTCTGGACAACTTAGGGTGGATTACTTGATAAATTGCCCAGTTCTGTTCACTCCCTCTGAAGCATCTGGCACTGTCCACTGTCAAAAGACAGGATACTGGGCTAGAGGGACCATTGGTCTGACCCAGTATGTCCATACTTGTGTTCTTATGACCTGACTCCAACCAGCTTCCCCACAGTGAAACTGCCAAGAAGCAGGTCAACTCCCCTTGGGATGGAACTGTGTGCTTGGAGAGGTACTCGGAGTAGGGGTTTTGCTCGGAGAGATGACTCCCCCTTTTTCCCCAGCAGCCACATGATGCAGCAATGGTAAAATAGTGGCAACCTCTGCTATTTCCCATGGCATCCGTGGCCGGGGGCAAGAGGAGGTAAGGAGAGAAAGCCGATCCCGTCCAGCAGTGCCAGAATTGGGTGTTGGTGCCCCCAAGCTGGCCTCAGGGAGAGCACTCTGCTTCCCCAGTATCTGGGAAGGATGGTGGGCTTCTCACCAGGCATTGCCCTGAGTCAGTGGAGCTTCTCTACCTTTCCCTATTGTCCTTTGACCAGCAGGTTCAGACCTCTGGATATTGGGCGTCTGATGAAAGTCTCATTGAGTGAGAGGGTTGGGCAGGTTGATGGGATAAATTAGTAAAAAGGAAGATGGATGTATATATGAGAATAGGAAATGTGTCAGAGAAAAAGAGAAAAGGAGATGCAGTAAGTAGGACTGATAGAATTGTGTTTGTAAGTTTATTCTTATTTACCAGCAGTGACTTCAGCCACCTGTGCTGCCGGTTAAATACTGTTCAATGAATATATTCAGCAACAGATACTGATGAAATTCATTGAATACGATATTTTAAATGTTTTTCCCTCTTTAATCAGCCCTAATAATAAGTTACATATTTTGAAATAGTCCTATAGAAAGTTGATTGCAGTTATGTTACAATTAAATCCAGTACTCACCTTGTGCACAGCTTGTTTTATTTCTTTAAGCTGGGATTTTCAAATAACTTAACTTGAAATTCAGTGGTATTTGGGGAACTAACTCGGCACCCTTTGAAAATCCTATCCTTAGACTTCAGAGGGCATAGCTTTGGAGATAAGGCCTCAAGGGCATGGTAACACATGTTTTTCACCCTGCTTACTTTCAAAGATGGAATCATGTTTTAGCCATGTTGAGGAACTACGTGTAACCTTAGTCATTTTCATATTCCAATAGTTATTTCAACAGCAGAACTTCCTGAGCTTCATCAGGCAGAAGAGCCCCTGACTTATTGTGATATTGCCAGGGTACAATGCAAGATATGATGTACAATGGTAGTTGCGTGGGTGACTTTAATAAATAAAAAAAAAAAGCATCATAGTTGCTTTGAAAAGGAAGTAAGTATAATGAACAAAAAGGGGTTGAGTTTTGATCCCTGGGTAGTGGATTTTTTTGGTTTGTCCCAACCCATATTTGCTTTCAACCTAGAGCACCTGTTCCAAAAAGAATCCTTTACTTTGCAAGCTGGTGGAACTGCAGACAAACAACTGCCTCTTACATTGATACATGTCTGTCCTAACCTCCTTTCCTTCCTCTTTATTGCAAATAAATCAGCAGTGACAGTCATGTAGCACAGAGCAGGCCAACCTAGATTTTAGCATTGTGCTGAGTAGAAGTAGTTTGGCATATTCCATCTCTTCACCTCCAGAATAGTTTCTGCCATCCCTGGAAAAACACTTCATGTTGAAAGCAGTGGTTCAGTTTACATTCATTTGATAGATCCTTTCATGTTCCCCATGTCCACAGAGTTGAAATCTACCACCTTTTCACCATCATTATCTGCTTTCTTCAATTTCACTTCATTTTTTAACCATGTGCAGTGGGAAAATGTTGATCTTTTAAAAAAAAAAAAAATATATATATATATATATAGTATATCATTGTACATAACAATGGCAGCACAGAAACCAAAGACCAGGCTAACCAGCAGCATTATTAATTGGTTTTGTTCCATCATGCCGCTTTGCTTCAGGATTGCTTTGTTAGCTGAAATAGATGCACTCTTAAAATTTTCTGAAAGAGTATGCAGTGAACTTTTGGGGTATGAGAGAAAACAAAAAGGAGTTCTGTTTTCTTAATTGTATAACTTGAGTGGATCAGAGCATTGCCCTAGCAATGGTGTAATTATGGTTGAAATGGCATTATCGTTCTAAGATGTGAATATGACTATTCACATATACCCATCTCAATACACATGTCTCTGAAGAAACCCCAGCTAGCGTTGCAGGGCTCTAGACCCTTCCCAAGCCCTGTCAAGCCGTCTGTGCTTTATAGAGGCCCTGATTTTCATCGCCCCACATGCCCCTTTAATATGTAAATCCCAGAGAATGTTTCCGCTGAGTACCTGTAGTTGCAAACCTGCAAAATAGTAATCAAATTGATTGTACATCAGACATCCCAGTGCCTGTTTTTCTGTGTCATGCCATTCAGAGTTGAGATCTCATAGCAACTCAGTGGTCATACACATTAAGGCATAAATTAACACCACATGCAGTAAATAAAGCAGTTGGCACCATTGCATATTATTTTGTTTTAGTTGTATTATGGTAGTGCTCTGTGTGCTAGGTGATGTCTAAACATATAGGAAGAGGCAGTCCTCTACCCAAAGGGCTCACAGTCTTAAGAAACTTGAATTTCTTTATAGTGGCCATAATTGTATTGACATACATTTTTGAATGTGGTAATATATTTGTATAGCAATTGAAGCAGTTGTATAAACATAAATAAGAGTATGAGGAGTTGACACTGCCATTGAATTGTCCCTATTTAATATTTTAAACGTTACTGGTCAGTCTTGTTTAGAACTATTGAACATTTGCTGAAGTGAGATAAACTGTTATTTCGTTCAGATTATTGGGCACTGTGTGACAAGCATAGAGCCTGATCAGATAATGTTCAGCTATAATCAGACCTGTTTGAGAATTCAAAATTTAAAATATCTTTGCAGATGTATGCAACAGTTGTGCAAGTAGTTATTTTCCCTAGTAAATCAGTCTTATTTTTGCTCTTTAGATGTGTTCTAAAAGAATTGGAGTCATTGGGGAAGGAACTTTATGGAGCAAAGCTAATTGCCCAAAGATTTCAAGTTCGAAACTGTTCCCACTTCAAAGATCCAGTGAGTGGTTCAGCATGTCTATTGTCCATGATTGAAGAGGGTAATCCTCATCACTATTTCGTTGCTACGCAGGTAATACATTTTGAAATAAAGTTAAGCCATATTTCCTAAATCTATTCTCTGATTCCTAAGTATCAGGAATTCTGTCAACTATGAACATGAGATTTATATGGTTTATTGGGACTAAATGTATAAGACTTGCATGCCCAAGACAAGTAACTTTACATGCAAATTACAAAATGGGAAAATTGTAGGTTGCATGCAAAGTTACCAGTTTTGTCAGCACCAGTGAATGATTAGCTGTTACTGTAGTCAGTTCCCTAAAACAGAGTGACAGTTTTAAGGAAACCAGCAGCGGATGTGATTTTTGCATGATAAATGGGAACAAAAAGATTGTACGTGCCCTGATTGCATGTCCACCAGTCTGTGTTAGCATTGGTTTAACATACTGTAATTTTTATTAAAATGCTAACCTGGACATTTGGAATAGCTTTTGGTTCATCTTTTTTAAATAGAAAATGATATTTAAACTGGCAAGTGCTGTTGAAACCTGTGTGCAGATAAGACGTAATTAAGTCTATTATTGTGACTTTATGTGCATTCACTAGCACTTTTATGTATTTGAATCTGAATCTGTTTTATATTCTGCATTATGTGAAAATAAGATGGTTTGCTAGAATCTTATATAGCATCTTCTATTAGAACATTTACCTCTTTTGCAGATTACTGGGGCAGTTACCTGTTTACCTGTTCTAAATACTTTTTTCTGTCCACAAAGGTAGGAGGTAAATTTCCATCATCTTTATCCCTGATAGTGAAAGGGAGGTATACTCTGACTTTTTTTTATAGAATGTATCTGACTAATCTGTGTTTTAAAAGCAGTTGCATTTGAATTGAAGGTTTGATCCATTCCAAAATATTGTCTGATGTGTTTGATTTTGACAGGACCAGGATTTGGCAACAAAAGTGAAGAAAAAGCCTGGAGTTCCTCTTCTCTTTATTATTCAGAACACTATGGTGCTGGACAAACCTTCTCCGAAATCACTGGCATTTGTTCAAGCCATGCAGGCAAATCAGCTTGTTCCAGAGCACCAGAAACAAAGTATTGAGCATCTTAAAGAAGAACAGGGACTAGTAAAGGAGCCTGAAAACAGAAGAAAACGTAAGAGGGCAGGTGGCCCCAATCCTCTTAGCTGCCTGAAGAAAAATAAAAAAGTGCAGGAGACCCAACAGCCTTCCGCTGCTAAGAAGAAACGAAAAAGAAAACGAAACCGGGCTAAATCAGAAGCAAAGGCAGTGTCTGTGCAGCTGAGTGTGAAAGCATAAAGCCGCCCATATAAACCTTACTGGACTTGAATACAGCTTGAACTTTGTGCAAAGAAAAAAAATTTCTTACAATTCTAATATGAAAATAAGTGTTTATTTTTATGAAATATTATATTCTTCATTATAACTTTCACCGCCTTTGTATATTTATATCATTCCAATAGTATAACTTGCTCTTTATTAATCAGATAATTACAAAACATTTTTTCCCCACTATAACCACAAGTCTGCCCTCACTGAGCAATTGGAGAGCTGTTATGTTGCAAAATCTGGTATCTGGAGTGCCCCAAGTAGTGTGACTTTTTTTATTATTATTAATTTCTCTGTGCACAGGACTGCGCTCACATGAACAAATGGCGTATATTATTCCTGGCCCTGCCTTAGTTGGGATCCTAAGGAGGGAAGTGTAAATGAGTTTTTTATAAATTTTCCTGTAAGGTGTTGTAACAGGATCTCCTCAAACTGCATCAGACTGTGCCTGCATTTCCCACTCATGTAAGCCAGTGTCCAATTTCCAGGACCGTGCGTCAGTAAAGCTTCTTCTAATGTCAGTATTCATTGCTTTTTCTGTGGGATACATTTATTGTTGAAAATCAAACGCAGTTCAAGTTAAATCAAGATGGACAAACCACCTGGATCCTCCTGAGGCCTCTGCCTCAGAGGGCTGCTACCTATGCAGGATGTATACCCCCTGCTAGGTCTTCCACCTGGCTAGTGTGGCTAGTTTCCTTCCAGGTCTTTTCCCTGACCCAGCATCTCCTGCAGGAGACTTTCCTACTCCTTGCACCTCTCCCCTCAGTTGAGCTGCTCGTTGGTCTCTTTATCTCACCACTTGGGAGGCAGCTAGTTAGTTACAGGTTATGCCCAGCTCCCTTCAAGGGGTCAACCCACCTTTTGACAGTTTTCCTATACAGCACTAGTGCCTGAATAGGTCACTTAGGCACAGGAGAAATGGTAGGAGCAAGTGTGCAACTTGGTCATGCTGAAACATAGTGCCACACAACAATAGAAGTGAGGTTGTTCATAGTACGGCACATCCAAGCTGGAGCTGTGAAACACTTGGCTAGGTGGCAGTGGTGAGGGCTGTATCTGTTTTTGCAGTCTGCCTCAGCCATCTTGTAAGATTATAAACAGAATAAAATCAGGCTGCTGAGGGAGCTTGAAAAAAACACAATAGGGCACTTCTGCATCTGTTTCCCACACAAGCTTGCCTGGGCAAGGAGACATGGAGACAGTAAAGTGAAACTGACAAGAAGTCTATTCTGTCGATCCTGTCATACAGTGAAGAAGGATGCACTATAATATGTAGATGGAAATTGTGTGATTTTTAATCTGTTCAGACTGCCTCTGCCCAACCACAGTATAATTCCTATAAAGAGGGAAAACTTAAAACCAGTTAAGGGTGCTAAAGGGAACACCCCCTTCCTCCACACCACAATCCTGTAAAAACAGCTAAGCTATCCATTTTAAATGTATTTTAGCCCCCACACATCACATTCACTAGTTTACTGGCAGAGTCTCAGCTGTAGATAAAATGTACCTTCCTATACAATAACGCCATTTCTCACAGTTGCAAAACTTCTGCAATATTACCATGGCTGTTAGAAAGCTGTACAGGTGTAGTATATAAATGTGGTGTTTTCCCACAGGGAAGTATGAGGACAGAATTAAGTTTTTGTGTTATAAGTGCACTTGTTGCCTGTTACTTGATAAAGTGCCTCAAAAGTGGTAATAGCTCTCATGGCCTTATGGGACTTTGACCCCTTCCTTCTGTAGTTCCCTAGGGATTTCAGAAGGTTTATAGAAATTTCCCACAACCCCACTGCTCATGAGAGGAATGCCGGGAAATGTGGGATAAATACTTAGCGTACAATACAACTACAGTGGTGGACTATGGTAGATGTGGCCCAAAACTGCCTATAACAGCATGGCTTCACCACACCATTCAATTCTACATTCATGCAGGACATAACCACCCTGTGCAGTGACTGCTGGAGAATGGAGCAGCAAAGGTAGCTTTGATACTAATGGTGAAAAAGCCCTGCCTGCAGAAAGTAGTGTAGTTACAAATGGGGATGTAACAGTTAAGTCACACCAATCATGCTGCCCCTCTGCTGAGCAGTAGTTAGTGTCCTTTCAATGAGGAGGAGTCTGGGCATCTTCTCAATGTGATTTGTGTGTTCATGCTCTTCACACCAATCCTTTTACAGAGGCGATCACAAGCAGCACCAAGGCAATCACCTCTAAATGATTAATCCAGAGCCAATGCCTGATCACTAGGAAGTAACTGCCCAGAGAATTGACTCTAGTTAGATTAAAGCAGAGAGCAAGCTTGGTGTGTGCAACAGCTTCCCCTCAAAGAGTCTGCATCACTAACCTGACAGCACTACACCATTTCTTCAAAGACTAAAGCTCTGAGAAAAAATTGGTAAGGCTGTAACAATGCCATCTCTTGACTCCCACCATAACAATATTAAAGCTAATTATTTTCATGGTGTCTCCTTAGTATCATCTTTTTCATCCAACTTAGCACTGTTGCTGCCATAGGGAAGTTGCAAGTTGGGGTTGAAAATGGATGTGCAGCATTAGAGAGCCTGGGTTAGCTCCACAAAGGAAGCTTTAGGCACTTTGCCACCCAATGAAATCCACAATCTGAGTTAGGTGCCCAGGCTCCCTAGACAATGCATGGGGGGAGTTAGGTGTCTTAAGAATGGGATTCACAAATGCCAGTAGGCTGAGCCGGGAGCTGTGTAAGCTAGCCAATAGGAAAAGCTGAGGAGAGAGTTATGGCCTAAGCCCCACCCCTGAAAGGGAGCTACTCACCTACTGCCACATCTATGACCCCTCTCCTGGAGTTGGAGGAAGTGCCTTGTTTATAACTTTTATCCCACTGGTTAAAACACTCCCACAGGATGTGGGGAGACCAGGGTTTGATTCCACACTCTGCCTGATGCAGAGACGTGATTTGAAGTTCACCTGCCTCCTAGGAAAGTGCACTAATGACTGGGCTATGGGGTTTTCTGGAGCAGGTCGCTCTCAGGGCAGGTCTACACTATTGCTCTAGTTGATCTAACTTACGTCACTCAGGAGTGTGACAAAGCTTTCCCTCTCCCCCAGCAACACAAGTTTTGCACTGTCCACACCGGCGCTATGTCAGCAGGAGATGCTCTCCCACCAACATAGTTTATGCTTCTCACCGAGGTTGAATAATTATGCCTATGGACGAGCACTCTACTGTCGGCATAGCACGTAGTGTATACTTGCCCTCAGTCTCTCCTTTTTAAGCTGTTTCACTGTGTATAAATATTTAAATATGTTTGGTTCAGACAAAGTGAGAATTCCTCTATAGCCCAGTGACGCTATAGGCCACTCATGTGGAACACCCAGATTGCAGTCCCCTTACTCCAGTGAATGCTTAGGCTTACCTTCTCTTCCGCATTTCCTACTGGCTAGCTTAGGTGGCTCCTGCTCAGCGTGCTGGTTTTTGTGGGTATCTTATGCATTGTATAGGGAACCTGGGTGTCTGACTCGGGGCTGTGGATTTCACTGGGCAGCGTGGCACCTAAAAGTTAGGCACTGCACCCACCGAGCATTGAAACACCTAAATCCTTATGTGGATCTAGTCCTAGTCTATAGAAGGTGCCCACAATAGAAAAAGAAAAATTGCAGCTGTGAAGCAGCTGACATACCCTGTTTCAGAATGGAACTCCTGGTTTAGCTGGCTTGGGTGATCCTGCTCACCCAGGAAGTGCTACAGTCGGTCAGATCATGTGGTGTTATCTTTTTCATGCAAACTCAGACAGAATTTTAAAAGAAGTAGGTCTTGGAGATTTACACCCCATCTACAAGTAATCCAGTTACATTATGGTTAAAATTCACAGTGCCTCAGTGTACAGCTGTAACAGGGTTAAAGCCTTTGACTGTCCAAGGCAATGATCTAAGTATATCCCATCAGCACTGAGTATGATCAGTCTTATGTGGCTTAGCGGACTTGCTTATGCCAGTAATGTCGATACGGTCCCAACTGTATCTTATCATAAAGATTTGGTGTTCGGATTGTTCTGTCACAGCATGTCTCAGGCAGCGTGTCACTGTTCTCAAAGCTATAGACACCACAAAGAGGAGTGAAGGATTTCTTGTTGTCTCAAAAGTAATGTTTAAATCCCTTTCTTGAGCAGGTACTGTAATTAAATCTGAAGGAGTGGAAACGAGGACCCGAAGTTTTAGAACACCGTGTATTACATCTTGAACAGATTAATAGGGGAATAAAACAACAGTATTTCAGCTGCAGTCAGCAAGGCATTAATACTGAATTTTGGACAAAGCATTCTCATCTGCAGGCAGCAGAACATATTTACCAGGACAGCCTGCCAGTTCAATTGGCTGGATTTATACGTTGGTGTGATCTGGTATTGTACGATAAATCATTCCCCAGCATCAGCTGACAACACTGAATAGATGAGTTAATCAGGAGCTACTGGAACCTGAAATGTTTATGAATCATTAAAATAAATCTGAATGTGCTATGACTAGAAGAATAAATACATTCTGGTTGGGTGTGATAATTTGTTCCCCAGCTATGTATTTCTTTGGGTCCATGAAAATAAATAGAAAGTCCAGAGCTCCTGCTCATTTGTTTTCTCTTGTCCTGGTGTTCTGCAAATGATTTCTTGATCAACTGTAGCGTCTTTGGGTAGATTCCTGAACACGTCTTGTTGGATGCCAAAGATGAAGTGCATAAAAACAATGCAATTTGTATTCGTCTAGCATCTTTCTTATCACAGTTTCACAAGCTACTGTACTGTATACCTCCGTGCAAGCATATCTCACAGGAAGCAGCCATACATATGGGGGAAATGAGCATATAAGAGTCAAGAGCAGGGCTATACATTACAGGGAGGAAGACTGCATTGCACATAGTGAAACTGACAGAAAGTAAGGCTTCAGTATCAAGTGTGCCACAAGTACTCCTGTTCTTTTTGCGGATACAGACTAACACAGCTGCTACTCTGAAGTGTGTTAGAAGTGATAGAGAGAAGATATACCTCTAGAATTGGGGCTAAACCCACCAATTTCTGTGGGGGGAGGATGTGTGATGTATT